TTGCTCTCCCCAAACCAAAACCAACAGTCGGTCCAGTAAGGGACGTGGGCAACAGGTACGTCCCCCTCGCGTTGGCTTGGCTTAGTTGTGCTGTTTGAGGTTTTTTTCTGTGCTCTAAGGAAACTGTGAGGATTTGTCTGCTTAACGATCCTTCCCCCCCCCCCATTCTTTCGGGGCTGGGGGTGGGATTCCTGCTGGATGTTTTGCATTCCTGGTGAGCTTCTGCTTCTGTAGCTTTGGATGATGAGACATGTGGGCATAAGCAAACTACCCTCAGCTGGCAGTGCTGATATTGTAGACTGTAAACTCCAGGATAATAATGAATAATTCTTTGCCCTTCTCTAGGACCTTCTGTCCACTCACAGAATCTCCCTGCACTTCACAATGTCTTCTCTGGGATGTAGGTCAGAATTATCCCCATTGTACAGGTGGGAAAACTAAGGCCCAGAGCGGGGAAAGTGAGTGGTTGTGGAACATACTGTTGCCAGAGTAGGGAACAGAACCAAGATTATTATTCAGTCACTAATTATCCCTTCCCTGCATGGTGCTCTAACAAGCTGTGTTATTGCACAGTATGGTAGCTGCTCATGGTAACGCCCTAGGCCAGTTATCCGAGTTATTTTGTAACTGGAGTGGGGGGGATACTTTTGTTAGAGCAAGGAACTGAGCTCAGCTCATTCCCGGCTCTGCCACTGACTCACTGCGTGACCCCAGGCAAGTCACTTTGCTGCCCCATGCCTCAGTTTCCCCAGCTCTAAAATGGAAAGAATGCTTGCCTTCGTTGAGCGCTCTGAGATCTATGGATGAGCAGTGGTGTAGAAGTGCAAAGCTGTGCTCATCTGCGAGTGATTTTCCATTTGCTCCAGTGGAGAAAGCAACTCCCTCCATCCTGCTGGACAGGCCTGACTTCCTGGGTGGGGTAAGATCAGTAAAACAGCAGCACCCAGGGAGAGACTTGCCACTGTAGTCAGGACAGCAAAACAGAACATTTGTGTAGCTGTCTAATGCGTGGGATTGCCACCACCCTGCCCTTCCCATATTCGTGTGCAGAAAGGGGGATCCTGGATACGTGGGGAGGGGATCCTGGCAGTGCTGGCTGAGAAGCGCTTTGAGATGGCAGTGTGCTGTGCTTAGATACCTTAGGCTGTATGGCCCCTGCCCGGCGAGTCCTATCAGGTTCTCTGAATGGGATGAGCGAGTCTGTGCAGGCCCTGCTGAGATCAGGGCGCAGCCTCTGTCTGGCAGTCGCTGTTTATGGTCTCTTGTCTCTGTCTTTAATTTCCTTTCAGAACGTCCATCTGCTCAGTGCTCTAGCAAGGCCGGCTCTGACTGGACCCTCCTCCTCCTCTTCCTCCTCTCGGGCCCTGGAAGTTCTTACGTGGAACACCTTTCGCTCCTGCTGGCCCTGGAAGAGCAATAGCTTAGAGTGACTAGCGCATTTAGGGCCCCTGGTATTCCAGGAGCCTCCTGCTTCAGTGTAATCCAGGGATACTCTCCCCTTTGCTGGCGTCTTACAGACCCTGCTCCCTACTTCATCCTCCTGCCACTCTCCCCAGTGGCAGAGGTGAGGTACGCGCCTGCTGAGGGGGCAGAGAAAAGGTATGAGGTGATGTGTGCAGAGCAGCATGGGGGTCTTGAACAACTCCTCCGGAAGCTAGGGGCAGAGATGGAGGGAGTGGGGGGCCAATGGGTTTTCTCAGCACCAGGCTGGAGGCAGGGAGGGAGAAGGAGGAGGCTCAGAGGGGACAGAGAGAAGTGGTGAAGATCAGAGGCTCGAGGAGGAGGAAGGCCAAGTAGATACTCAGGAGGAGAGGAGCAAGAAATTGGGTAGGACTCAGAGCTGGAGAGAATAAAATGAAAAGGAGCTGGGGGCGGGGAACAAGCAGGGGCTGGCGAATACAGTGTAGTCACAGGAAGGATCACAGCAGTGATGCATCCCGGGCTTAGGATCTGGACTGGGGAGAGCAAGTGGACTGCGGGGGAGGGACAGCAGTTCCTTATCTCCCTTCCCTGCCTGGATCCCTGATTCCCCGTGACGGAGGTCCCGGTTCTGAAAGTATCTCTCCGCCTGAGTGCAGCAAGTGATGTTCTGAAAGGAAATGGCAAGGGTGTGTGTGGGTGTGTGTGTGTGTGTGTGTGTGGCTCGTGTCTGTGCAGTTGTAAAAAGAATGTTTCCATGAGACAAACTAATCCATCCCCAGCAAAAGGTTGGCCTTAGTTTGTACCAGAGAGGAGACAGCGAGACTGTTAACTACAAGGGGAAACTGAGGCACAATAGAGGAAAAGTGACTTGCTCAAGGCCATGCAGTGAGTTAGTGACACAGCTGGGAATAGACTCCAGGAGTCCCAACTCCCAGGCCCATGCTCTAATCTCCCTCCCACTAACTGCCTTCTGAGAGCCCACCATCTTTATGCAGCGGGATTGGTGTGGCGGCAGCGATCACTTTTCTGCTTTGCCTTCACTCCAGAGACCCTCCACCTCCTCAGGGGTGTCAGAGTTGGGGGCCCTTCCTTTAATCTGGCGAATGTTCCCTCTGTGCATTTGGACTGACCCACTTGGTCTAGGCCATGACAGAGGGGCGCAGACTCTCCCCGGGGGCCTGCAGCCCATCAGTCACTCTGTTGTGTGACAGGGCTGGGAAGTGAGGGATAGCTAGAGCTTGACAAGTGGGGGTCTGATGGGAACGCGACACGGCTCCTGTGTTTCCAGGCTGTTTTACGAGCGCCGGTAGACCACAGTGCGCTGAAATGCACCGGGTCTGAGATAATACCCCCACCAGTCTCCTAAGCTGTTGGCTCACGTGCGGCAGGTGGCTTCTCTGAAGGCTGTGGTGTTCTCCAGTCTGCACATGGGCTAGTGATTGGAGCAAGGGACTGGGTCTCTGGACTCCTAGGCTGTAGTCACAGCTTTGGAACGGGAGTGGAGTCTAGTGGTTTGAGCTGGGGGGCTGGGGTTGGGAATCAGGATTCCCGAGTTGTAATCCTGGCTGTGGTGGTGGACAATTCACTTCCCCTCTCTATGCCTGAGCTCTGTTTCCTCTGTCTGATACAACATGACTGTACTTGACCCACCTCTCCCTGTTCCTTTGTGGCCCTCTTTCCTTTCAACACCGCATAGAGCACCCGAGTGCCTGTCTGAGACAGTGCTGCCTCTGCACCCCTCCCACCTTCACCAACGCGACATCTAGCCAGGCAAAGCCATCGAACTGGGAGCTAGAGCTACTGGCAGATGTCAGGGGACCTCATTTCTAGGCAGCGGGAGCGGGTTCAGATCACAGGAGCATGCTTGCTATCCCTTCAAGGGGCTGATGCCTGCTGGGTTGAAGTCAGGCATTCTGGCAGGGCAAAGCTTCCCCAGGCTGAGGGTCTCGGTAGGGTAAACCCTGGGATCTCTCCTGCACTGGCGTGGTCTCGATTCCTATGTCCCTCTCTCCTCTCTCTGGAGTCAGAGCGTGTCCCCTCTGGGGAAGCCAGAGCAAGGGGAAGTTCTACCCACCTCCGGGGAATGAAATCCTGCCCCTTTCTTGGGTTTAACCAAAGCTAATGTTTCTCTTCCCCCAGCAAACCCATTCACACTCTGCACAGCTTGAACGTTTTAGCCTTTGACAAGGAGAAGCTGGAAAAGAAGGTGAGTGAAACCCGATGCCCTCCGCCTGCCCAGATTCTCCGGCAGCACCGGCTCAGCTAGGCCTCGAGCAGAACTCGGTGGGGAAGGGGTGGGGGTCTTCTGCAGCTGCTGGTTATGCCACGAGGGAACTGGGTGATCTGGAGGTTAGTGGCAGAGCTAGAAATAGCAACCCGGAGACCGGACTCCCCGTTGCCTGCCTTGACAAAGCCTGCACTTACCCCTCGGCTGGGGAAGCAGCTCACGCTGCGCGTTTTGGAATGGTCTCTGGCCTCGGGGGGGTTGAATCCAAGAGGTTGGCTGAGGCCTGTCTCTGTTTAGGATATTACCCTGCTGGTGGCCTGGTCCGAAAGCCAATGGAAAGACTCCCTTTGACTGCAATGGGCTTTGGATCAGGCCCCAGCACGTTAATGCTGTGGGGCTGCCTCTGCCTGGGAGGCACTGATGGGGCCGGGCATTTCCCTCTAGGGCACCCTGGGGTTCACCTTCCCCATGGAGCACTTGTTCAGACCACACCCCGCCCTGACTGGGCTAGGATTTTCAACCGTGTTGGCTCTCTGTCTCTCCCTCGCGTAGGCACAGTCTTTGGGGCAGGTCCCTTCAGGCAGCGTCTAGCTGCTGTCTCCGCTGGGCGGGTCCTCACCAGCCCTGCTCCCGGTGGGGGTTCCCGATGAACCGTAATGTGAAACGATCTTGAGTTCAGGAACCCACCCCGCCCAGTGACCGCCGAGGGGAACCAGCCGCTTACGACTTGCAGGCTCCCTGCTCGGTGGGCTGCGATGGCTCTTCCCGCACAATCGCAAGGGTGCCAGGTTATGGGAGACGTGGCCGCAGGTCATGTCCCCTTCTAGGGGCAATGTGAAAGGGCTAGAGAGCTGCCGCTGGATGCATCCGCCATTGACCTGCACAGGAGATCTGTGCATTGGCTGCTTGGAGGGCGGCAGTGTGTGCGCTCCCCACGGGAGTGCCGGGCTCACCGGGTCCTGGCTGCTTTTCCGGAGCTGCTCCCTCCCCAGCCCGTGCTTCCGCTACCGGCGCTGATTCCCGCACTCAGCTCGGAATGACTTGACGTATGTCAGGGCTTTGTGGGTTCCTCTGTGTTTGCCTGGGAAGCCAACAGGCCTTCTGGCTTTGCTGGCAGGTGTTGGCGTACAGACAGGCTCACAGGCCGCTTCCCAACGAGCTCGTGGAACAGTACCAGGACATCACGCAGCGGAGCCAGTGGCTGAAATCCCAGCTGCAGCACGGGGGCCCTGCGTTCAGGAAAGGTCAGTGCAGCCCTGCAGTCGGAGCTCGTTTTGGGGGGTGCTGCCCATCGCGGTGCTCGGACTTCTGCCCCAGGACGGGTACAGCCTGACGTCGCAAGCCTCCGCCCCGAGCCGTGGGTGAGCCGGGCGTTGAGCCGTGGGTGAGCCGGGCGTTCCGTCGTGGCCTCTCCCTCCTGAAAGGGGCTTGGGGCAAGGGACACGCGTCCCACTAGGACCTGGGCAGAGAACAGCGATTTGTCATGTCTGTGGTAGTTCCTAAGCCTCGTTCCTACAGCACCTTAAGGACCCCCCTGCTGTTCTTAGTCCTAATACCCGTGCCTGCCTGGGCCTGTTTAATCTCCCTCCCTCACACCGTAGGCACAGGGGTGGTGCCAAGAACAGAGATTCCCAAACCTCAGAGCGCTGGCTAGTCACATGTGCTGGGGCTGCCTTGTGTAACTGAAGGATTGCACTAAAAGCAACTGAACATAAGGGCTTTCCTAGCGCTGCAGGACTGTGTGAGCAACCGCCCCAGGGAGGGGAGGTGTCCTGGAGAGAATCACTATTCAGCTACGTTCCCCACCACAGAAAGGTTTGAAGACCCCCCGCCCTGCCCATAGAGGCTCGACTGACTCTAACCTTCCTCCCCCTAGAGTACCTGTCGCAGCTGGAGAGGTTCCTGCAGTTCTACACCGATTCGGCGCGGCGTCTCGGGAACGAGGGCAATCGGGTGAGGAAACCACTTGCCGTTCTCTTCTCACTGCCAGGAAGCTGGGGCAGAAGCCAAACATTGGTTCTGTGATCGTGTGGGGTGGGACAGGGCGGGCGTCTTTGCATGAGCCTGTTCCACTCGTGATAAGTAACACGGGGCGACTGGAATCTGTGGGATTGGGGTCTCACTTCACGTGCTCACTACTGCCCGGTGGTTCTGTGGGGGTGTAGGTAGAAACCTGGCTAGACTGTTGTGCCAGGCCCATCACCCAGTGCTGCTAAGGTACCTGCTTTAAAGCAGCAGAGCTGTCAAACTTGGCATGGTCCCTGTAGCAGCTTCCCCCTGCTCCAGGGGAGTTCGACATCCTGATGCTTGTGGTGTTGGTTTAACAGGACGCCGCCAAGGAAGCCCTGTACAAGCGGAATCTCGTGGAGAGTGAGGTAAGCGTCCCCTAGCAGCTGAGCAGGGTCAAAGTGCATTTGGCCAGGAGTCCTGGGCTTATCCCAAGAGCAGGGTCAGTTTCCCACCTCTTAGCCCTGGACCCCCCACTGGCAGCTGGAGGGAAACTTTCTCCATGGCCCATTTCCCCCCTCGGCCTCTCTGCCCAGACTGTCATGGAGGGGGCTGACCAGCGACGGAGGTCGATGGTGCTTCAGAGACTGTTCAGTAGATTTATGGTGGCCCCGACGCAGTAGATTTTTCCCAATCCTTCAGGCCTGGAAGCTCCAAATCTCTCCTGCAGTCCCAGGATCTCAGGGGTCCCGAGTGCAAGCTTTAGCTCCCTCATGCGGTTCCTGTAACCCCGCCCATGAGTTAAGTGCTGCTTGTCCCTTCCCTGCCCTGCCCCACATGGCCCCAGGGGCTGCCACTCAAATACCCACGTGTGTCTTTCTCTTCCAGCTTCAGAAGTTCCGCAGATGAAGCCCTTGGTGTTTTGAAGGCCTGGGACAGAATGGCCCGCCCCGCATACACTGCACTCCTCTTCCCTCCATGACCCCAGGGGGGAGAAACTAGGCAGACACTAATGGGAGGGGTGGAGTTCCTTTCTGCCGAGCGGGGAGATATACTTGAGGGGATGGGAAAGGCCCTGAAATTGACCTCGCATCCTCTGCTAGTGTAGGGAGGGTGCTGTCCTTGTGCCCGGTCCTTGTGCCCCTTCCCCACCCCACTCTGGTGGTAGGAGTGAGCTCAGGCCCTGACCTCACCCCCCCAGAACAGCCCCACCCCAAACCCCGAGGTGCGTGATCTCCCACAGGGAGACGAGCCAGACAATCATGTGACAATCACTTTGCCCCTCTGCTCACCGAGAAGCACAGGTGCTAGAGTCCACCCCGCTCCTGGTCCCCGGCTCTGCTGGCTGCCTGCTAAAAGGCTTAGCGGGAGAGCATTGTATTCACTAGGCCAAACTACAGCAGGGTTTGTCTCCACAAGGGCTGGGCCTGCACTAGGGCAGATACCTGTGGCAAATGGGTGCTGACCACAGGTCCCGTCTCCCCTTAGCAGGCTCAGCACTGTTCATTTGTGCAGGCCGTTACCTGTAATATCCCCCGTCCACGCTAGCCCCCGGCCTGTTCTCAGCACCATCTGACAAGGGCCTGGGGTGGATCTGTGGCTGATGCACCCTGTTCTCAGCCACAGGTCCCCGTCCTAGTCCAGGCACAACCTGGTGCAAAGGGAAACCGCCCCTGTCCCATCTCCTGCCCTGTCCCTCAGAGCCCAGTCTGACCCTGGGCGGGAGCTGTGCTTGAATTCTGTGGGCAGGGAGTGGTCGGGAAAACTCCCTGCCTGTCATGGGGCACCGGTGCCGGCTGGAGCAGGGTTCAAGGCCAGACTAGAGTACAGCCACTGTCTCTCCCCCTCCCCCCCACCTTGGTAAAGTGCAATCCGTGCTGTCCTTTTGGGCACTGGTTTATAAGGGAGCTTTGTACTGCACGGCACCGTGGGCCAGGCGAAGGCTGCGACCTGTGAGCGCTGCCCTGTGCTCCCCCTCCAGAAGATAGGGAGGCCCCGGGCAGGGGGGCATTTATCCGTCGCTCAGCGAATCCACTCTCTGGTGCTGCCCCTGTCCCATCTCCCGGGGACGGCTCCAGTGCCTGACTGCGTCACACAGACAAACTGTGCGTGGTGTGACTAACGCATGTCCCCGGACGACCCCCGCACCCTTCCCCAGCCCCTATCACCACAGCTCCTGCTTTGGCAGCAGCTGCTCTTCCAGCCTTTGCCTGCGTTGTGGGAGGCAGGGGCTGTGTGCACAGAGATGGGCCGAAAACCCTTTCCCTAGCCCCGAGACGCTATCTGAGGCCCCCCGCCCCCGCAGCAGGGTGAGAGCCGGGGCAGGAAGCTGCTTGAAGGAGTCAGAGCAGGGACGCGGCGAGTGTGAATGTGACACTGCCTTTGGCTCCAGGCGAAGGGAGGACATGTTCCTGCCAGTTCCTCCAGCCAAGGCTGGGACGATCACAGGGAGCGAAAGGCGCCTGAGTGTGGATCAGAGCAGCTGCCCCAACGTCCGGAACTGGCTCCCGTGTAAATACCGACTAAGACTTCCGCACCTTGTCCGAACTAGATGACACTAAAGATGCTCCCTCCCCCTCCTCCCCAGCATGGCTCATGGGGACCCTCTCCCCACCCCCGATTTGCACTCTGGTCACAGCTCATCTTGCACGGAGGGGTCCCTGCACCAATGCACTTTGCACACACCTCTCCCCCAGGGACGGCAGGCCCCAGCTGCTCACGCTGCTTTGTTCAGGCTTCGCAGGGCTCCAGGCAGAGGATGCCCGGGGAGGGTGGTACACGTTGTGAACTGCCACCCCCATCACGGGCCTGCTGCCTTAAGGAGGCTGTGAAAGAGGGAAGGGGAGAATAGGGCTATTTCTCGCTACTTACCTGATCCACCCAGAAGGGCTAACAGGCCCCACTTTGAGTGCTGTCCAAGATCCCCCTCGTCCTGCATGTCCCACTAGAACCCAGTCACTTACTGGTAGTGGCCATAGAGGAACCTGCAGCGAAAGCCCCTCTCTGGCCGCTTGTCCCGCTCCCATGCCCATTCCTTGCCCTTTGGACAGAGAGAGCCACGCGTGCGCACACGGGGCTGGCTTTCTCTCTCTATGGCAGTAGGGTGAAACAGATCTGCAGTTCGCCCTACTGCCCTTCTCCCCTGGCGACTGGCTCCAGTGAACCAGCTGCAGCTTCTCGCTGAAGAGAACATATTCAGCAGCTCGTCAGGCCCTGGCAGGGGCGTGGGACAGGGCTTGGGATACCCTGGCTGGGAATGGTTGATTTCAAAACCCCTATGCTCATTAGGAGGCTGCAGCTGGGGGCAACTAAAGGTACCTCCAGCTCTGAGCTGCCTAAACAGGAGCTGAGCCAGAGGGGAGCGGCAGAGCTATCGTACAAGCAAGCAGCTGCGTGGGGGAGGCGGGGAACTGTCCGTTCCTCAGAGCTGTCGGGAGTCCCACTTACCCACAGGCCCAAACACTAGAGGGGTTGAAATCCTTGACTTCAGTGGAGCTGGGATTTCCCCCTGGATCTCTCTCCCTCCTGCAGTGCCCAGCTTTCGCTGGCATCTCCGTCCCAGCTTGGCCATGGGCCGGTGGCTCTTCCTTGCGTGCCTGGCACTGAGCGCCGCGTGAAACTGCCAATGGCGATGAGCCCGGTGGAGCCGCGCTGCAGCCTCTGCACACTAGCGGGGCTGCACCGCTACTCGCTGCCCCCTGCACTGGCAGGAGGTGAAGGGACCGTGGTAGGCTGATCTGGATTCTCCCCACCCCTTGCAAGTGACAGCCTGGTTTAAACAGAAACATTCCTTTAATCCCTGTGAATAACCAAATTCAAAGAGCTGCTGCTGGGTGATGGATGAGTTGATTAGCTGTCGAAATGGTCCAATCTCAGCTTCCCCCTCCCCCCCAACCTTCCTTCTAAACCAAATTTTAAACCTTTCTGTCTCTGGCCCAAGAGAAACCTTGTTTGAGGGTAAATAATGGGTAATTGTCTAAATGTCTATTGCTCCTCCTTGTCCGATTCCACAGCCCAGTAAAGCAGTGTGTTGCTTGTTGGGTCTGTTTTTACATGCTGTAAGTGCCTGTCTCTGGGGGCGTCTGTCTGTCCGGAGAATCCGAGAGCGAATGTAAAAGCAGAGATGTTGGAACTGACTGCGTTCTGGTTTTATTTTGTGCTTAGAGAGACCACAAATCTATATGAAGTTTTTAAGACACATCTTTTTTTCTACCAAAAAAACAAAACCAAACCCAGCTCTACCCTGAACTGAAATCCTGTAACAAATACCAATTAAACCTCTCTGGAACCTCTTCAGTCCTTGTGTTCTCTGCCGGCGTCCCTTAATGCCAGCTTCCCACCCCAGGGGAAAGAGAGCAGCTGAAATCAAGTGTGCCTCCACCCTGTCTCTGTACCCATCCTTCACTGAACTTACCTAACCTGACCCCTGGGGTTAGGATATTCTCTCCAGCAAGGGCTATGGCTCGGTTAGTGGGGCGAATGAGTTGGCTCAAGCTGTGTTTCTAGTAAATTAATATAATGTACAAGTTCTACGGAAGCCAGTGTGGGTGAAAGCCCTGGAGATGGGCGTCCTACCCCCAGAACAGCCAGGCAGTGGGCATCGCCCAGACCCCACTGCTCTCGTCCAGTCTCAGCTTCTTTCCCAACAAAGGGGCTAATTATGAATGGGGCTGCCTGCCCCACCCGCCATGAAATGGACCGAGATCTACCGTGCTGATTGCACACGTGGGCTACCGAACCGTTCTCTGACAGTGCCGCATGGTCACTACCAACCTGAGCTGTCTTCCAACGGGTAACCTAGACGCCTCAGGCATGCCTGGTCTGAAAGGGGGAGACCTGAGCACAGCCTGGAGATGGCCCCAGGCTCTGCCTAGGAAGAAGCGACCCCAGTAAGTAACACTGTTGCCCTTTTACCTGCTCAAAGTGCTGTGTTAACTTTGTCTCAGGATGAGTTAGCCCCATTTTACAGATACCAAAACAGGCACAGAGCCAGGGCTATAGGCAGAGAGTGAATTAATGACCGAGCAGGTGCTAGAACCCAGGAGTCCCGGCTGCCCACGTAGACCTCTAGGCTACGCTGCTTCTCAAATTAGCTGCAGTCACTGTGTGCTTCATGCAAGCGGAGGAGCAGCGTACTGCTGATGGGGGCGTGCTATCAGGGCTCTGCGCCGCGCAGGTCGACCACTCATTCCATGGCCTGCTCCTGCTGCCAGCTCCTACCGGGCTTAAAACAGCTCAGGGAGTTGTAGAAGATTTGGTTAGATTCATGGACCTGGAGGGAACCTCAAGAGGTCACCTAGTCCAGACCCCTGCACTGAGGCAGGACCAAATACACCTAGGCCATCCCTGACAGGTTTGTCTAACATGTTCTTAAAAACCTCCAATGATGGGGATGCCACAACCTCCCCCCCATAACCTAGTCCTGTATTTCACTAGCTGGAGAGAGAGTTTTCCCTAATATCTAACCCAAATCTCCCTTACTGCAGCCTAAGACGATTCCTTCTTGGCCTTCCGTTGCCATGAGCAGTTGATTGCTGTTCTCTTTGGAACAGCCCTTAACATGTTTGAAGCTTTACCAGCTTCCCCTCAGTCGTCTTGTCTCACAACTAACCATACCCAGTGTTTTTAATCTTCACAGATCACGTTTTCTAAACCTTTTAATCATTTTGGTTGCTCTGCTCTGTCCTCAGGGCCAGCTCCAGGCACCAGCCAAGGAAGCAGGTGCTTGGGGCGGCCAATACAAAGGGGCGGCACTCCCTCCGCTCTTGGGGCGGCACGTCCGGGTCTTGGGCGGGAATTCAGCAGCAGGTCCCTCAGTCCCTCTCTTCCTCTTTGAGCTGCCGCCGAAGAGGAATGGAGGGAGTGAAGGACCCACTGCCGAATTGCCGCCGAAGGATGAAGCAGTGCGATTGAGCTGCCGCCGATTGGCTTTTTTTTTTTTTTCCGCTGCTTGGGGCAGCAGAAAACCTGGAGCCGGCCCGGTCTGTCCTTCCAGCAAATTGTCCACATCCTTCTAAAAGGCTGGTGCCCAGACCTGGACACAGCACTCCGGCTGAGGCCTCACCAGTGCTGAGTAGAGCAAGACAATTACCTCCTGTGTCTTACATACCACACTCCTGTTAATACATCCCAGAATATTAGCCTTCTTCACAGCCACTTCACAGCATCAGCTCATACCCAATTCGTGATCCACCATAACCCCCTGATCCTTTTCTGCTGTCCTGCCACCTACCCAGGGATTCCCTGGTGTGTAGCCGTGCGTTTCATTTCCTTCCCAAGTGCAGGACTTGCACTCTATAGAAGTTCATCTTGTTGAATTCAGGCCCATTTTCCAATTAGTCACGGTTGGTTTGAATTCTAATCCTGTCCAGCGTGCTTCTAGCCTCTCCCATGGTGTCCTCTGCCAAAGCCATAAGCGCACACTCCACTCCATTAGCCAAGTCATGAACGAAAATATTGACTAGGACCAGCCCCAGGGCAGAGCCCTGCAGGACCCCGCTAGCTCTGTCCCTCCAGTTCGACAGTAAACCACTGCTAGCTACTAGAGTGTGGGGTTTCAACCAATTGTGCACCCACCTTACAGTCATTTCCTCTAGCCTGCATTGGGGCCAGATGAAATCGATTTGTTAGGGATTCATTCGTGGGCCCTGGTTATTCCATTCACTCTGGGGTCCTTTGCTACCGGACACAAAAACATGTCACCCCGCCCGTGGCTCAGAGACATGGAGACACCCACTGGCTCTGCTGGCACCATTGCCTGGGTCCAGGCCCATTCCCCATCCCAGTATCTTAAATATCTTCCTTTGGCTTCATCAGTGCTGCTGCTGGGTGGCAGCGTGGAGCTGTTTGTTACCTGGCAGCCCTGCAGGCGCAGGTTCTAGACCCCGACCCCAGCCCTTACGGTGCCTATGCTGCAAGCACCGCACTAATCTACAGGGAGGGTCCCTTTCAGCTGGGTTGGAGTTCAGGCCCTGGCTGACGCATGCCTCCAGCTGGCCAACTCAGGCCTAGCAGCGACAGCCCTGTAAGGCTGGTTCAAATGCTTGGCTAAAGTTGAGTGAGGCCTTAAGCACCCGAGGGGATGTGCTGATTCTCAGGAGGCCGGGGCAGGGCCTACAGTGGGGTGTCGGTGCGCCGTGCAGCTCAAGGAGCCCAGAAGAGCAGGCAGCGTAATCCCTCTGGAACGCTGCCTCAGGGAGGATATCGAAACCATGTTATCGCTGTGATCTGGGATGTGGTGCGTCAGAGCCTGGGAGGGAGGGAAGGCGGCTGCAGGAAATGACGGCAGGAGAGATGGATTTCAGTAGGGGATATTGCCAGAGCTCCTCTCAGCCCAAGAGATCCCAAAGCACCGCCAAGTTCAGAGCTGGTTGGAGGTCTCAGAGGAATCGCCCCTGCTTATAGCAGCTCAGAACTTAACCCTACACAGATGTGCATACAGAGGGAAATAACTTCCCCGGCACTGAAATGCAGCCACCTCTGGGGTGGAACGTGGCAGTACTACGTGACGGTTTGGACGAGAGGTGAAGAGCGGCTGATCCAGTGGAGAGTGCAAGGGGGAAGTCGCCAGGCTGACCAAGGGGCAGGACCCCAATTCTGTGGTTCTCTGAAAGAGCAGGAGCGTGCCCCCTGCTCCCGGAAGCACAGCACCCCCAGTACTGTGCCGACTCTCAGGGAAGAGCGCCCCCTACTGAGACACCCACCCTACTCCCCACCATAGCTGGATTTTCCCCTGTCCAAGTACCGAGCCTGCCGAACCCTGCTTAGCTGCCGCTCCCTGACAGGACCATCCGAGCCCACAGCGATAACACAGTCTAGGACCTGAACGGCGCAGCTGGAGAAGGAGAAAGCTGCCCCGGTTCCTCATTTCCTCGCTGCTATTCAAGCTTCCCTGACAAACCAGGCCCAGGGCAGACACTGACCAGCTCAGGCTGAGCTGTCCGCTTGTTAGGGGCCTGGGTGAGATCTGAGCCAGCGCCCGGCTCGTGGCATCTTGATACTGATGGGTTCTGGGTTCCCCGTAGTGTCCACAACCTCCAGCTGCTTCAGGGCCGCGAAGGCCTGGTCAGACACGCTGGCTGCCAGCAGGCGGTTGGATCTGAAAGAGCAGGAGGACAGGTGAAAAGCTCCGTTCTCTGCCAAGAAGAGGCCTCCTGAGACGCCATTGGTTGGCCAAATACTTCAGGGAGATGGCACCTTGGACCCTGCCCTAGGCAGTGGGCCCCTCAACACCAGAGGCCTCAGGTCACAGAGCAAGGACGGGACAGTCCCATTCTCTAGGGCTCCGGGGAGCCCAAACTTGGGCTCCAGCCTGGCCCTCCCCACCCCATAAGTGTTGCTGAAGTGCTGGAGGGGGTGCAGAGAGCAGCGATTTGGCTCGAGGTCACCCAGGCTACCTCTTGCGCTAACGCTAGCCGTGTGGATGTTGCGACTCTGGCAGGACTCAGGCTGGCCACCCGAGTCCTAGCCTGCCCAACCCCATGGGTTGCAGCTCGGGGGGCTAGCCAGAGCCACTGCCCCTGCTCCCCACCATAGCTGGATTTTCCCCAGCGAAGCTAGTGCGAGTCTGTCTACCTGCACTGCAAGGCGTGCTCCCAGCTGCAATGTAGACACACCTCCAGCGAGCCAGGGGTCCTGACTCCCAGCCCCCCCTGCTCTGACCCCTTCACCCCACACCCCTCCCAGAACCAGGGACAGAGACCAAGGGGTCCTGACTCCCAGCCCCCTGCTCTGGCCCCACCTTCTGGAAAGGTCGGCGGGAAAGCAGGTCAGCAGGACGGCAGGGCAGGAGCCTGCCTGTGCTCCCAGCACTAACCTCCCTGCTCCGGCTGTTACCTGAGGACGATGGCTCGGATGTCGAGGATGGTGTGGAAGGCTTCGGCCCCAATGACGGCAATGCGGTTGTGCTGGAGATACAGGTACTCGAGGGACTCTGGCAAGTCCGGGGGGATGTAGGACAATTCGTTGTTGCTGAGATCCAGGAGCTGGGGAGCAGGAGGGACGGGGTTACCCAGGCCAACAGCAGAGTTCTCAACAGCTTCTTGGATTCGCTCTACGCCACTAATGGCTGGTAACACCCTGCCAGGCCTGACTGTTCTGGACAAGGTTCTTGCAGGGCAGGCTGGTCGGGGACTTGATCACAGCCTTCAAGTCCCTACGCTGGGAGAGGGGAGCAAACTCCATTCAGCATGTTGTTAGCCTGTGGAACTCTCTGTCACATGAAGTCAATGAGGCTGCGACCAGTCAGACTCGAAGAGGGGACTGGATGTTTGTATGGATGACAAGGAGATCTGGAGTTAGAACGGTTCTGGGAGGGAGATTAAACCTCGTGGTTTTAAGCCAATCTCTATTAGGAGACCTTCATGGGGGGCTGAGTGTCCCTGTGGGGGTTCCTGCACCTTCAGCTGAGGCATCTAATGGTCTGATCCTCTCCGAGCCCGGATAAGGGGCTCCTTGGCCATTGGTCCCGATCCTGTCTGACATTGCCATGCTGCCAGAGGGCTCTTTACCCTAGCAATGAAGGTACAAGCTCAGGAGTTCTGGTGCCTCATCTCTAATCACCGAGCCACATCCCCTCCCACAGCCGGGATAGAACCCAGGAGTCCTGGCTCCCAGCTCCCCGCCGCTAACCACTCAACCCACTCCCCTCCCAGAGCCGGGATAGAACCCAGGAGTCCTCGTTTCCAGCCCCACCGCTCTCTAACCACTCAACCCCACTCCCCTCCCCGAACCGGGATAGAACCCAGGAGTCCTGGCTCCCAGCCCCCCGCCTCTAACCACTTAACCCCACTCCCCTCCCCGAACCAGGATAGAACCAGGAGTCCTGACTCCCAACCCCCTGCTCTAACCACTCGACCCCACTGCCCTCTCCGATTACATCATTAGGGCAATCGTCCCCCTCCCTCACCTTGAGCCCCTGCAGCTCCTGCCACGTGCCAGGGGTGATGGAGCCGATGCGCAGCCTGTTGTGGGCCAGGTGCAGCTCCTTGAGGCCGGTCAGGTTGGCCAGCAGCTCGGGCGAGAGGGAGTTGATCTGGTTCTTGTGCAGCTTGAGCACCTCGAGGCTGGGTGGGAGGCCGGTGGGCAGGAGGGTGAGCTGGTTGCCCGAGAGGTCCAGGTTCTCGAGCCGGCGCAGCTTGCGGAAGGCCAGCCGGTGGATCTTGGCGCTGTAGAGGCGGTTGTAGCTCAGGTTGAGCTCGGCCAGCAGGTAGGTGTTGGCGAAGTCGTGCAGGCCGATGTGAGTGATCTGGTTGTGCAGGATCATGAGGGAGCGCACCCGGCGGGGCAGCCCCGGGGGCACCCGCTCCAGCCGGTTGTTGTAGAGGTGCAGGGTGTGCAGGTTGCGCAGCTTGAGGAAGGCGTCGGGGTGGACGCCGGCGGCCGTCAGGCGGTTGTTCTGCAGCAGCAGGTACTGCAGGCCGCGCACCCGGCTCAGGCTGTCCCGTGGCAGCGAGCCGATGCGGTTCTTGCCCAGGTGCAGGATCATGATGTTCGGGGGGAAGCCAGCCGGGATCTCGGTCAGGTTGTTGTTAGACAGATCCAGGTACTCCAGGCTCTTCAGCTTGCTGCAAAGAGGAAGGGGAACGGGGCGCTGGCTTGGGGTGAGCAGCTAGTGCCGTAGCCTCCTGCTGTACTGGACCCAAGAGTCCTGATGCGCTGGTCCCCCCCCGCTCTAACCACTAGACCCCACTCTCCTCCCCGAGCTGGAAATAGAACCCAGGAGTCCTGACTCCCAGCCCCACTGACTATAACCACTAGACCCCCCGTCCCTGCCCAGAAGTCCCATCTCCTCCGCTCTAACCACTCTGCCACGCTGCAGCTCCCTCCCCCAGTCTCACCTGAAGGTGGAAGGGTCCATGCCCTGGTTGGACAGGTTGTTGTTCTGCAGGTAGAGCTCTCGGAGCTTCCAGTGGCTGCTCAGTGCCCCTCTGGGGATCCGGGCGATGCGGTTGTTCTGCAGGGATGGGAGGTCGCGGCCACTAGAGACGGGAGAAGCTCCCGAGCCCGCCTCAGACACCGTCAGCAGGCCTGGGGGGGAGACTGCCCTCGATACGGTACCAAGATAACCACTAGGCCACCCAGCCCAGATGCCATCTGAATGGCAGAGCTGGGGCACAGAGAGGGGATGGGCTTGCCCAAGGTCCCAGAGTGAGTCAAAGGCCACGCTGAGAATAGAACCCAGGAGTCCTGGCTCCCAGCCCCCTGCTCTAACCACTGGCCTACACCTCCTCTCCCCATATCAAAGGCAAACGGCTGTGGGGCTTTGGGATGTGTCATGCCTCAGGGATCCAGGCCAACCACACGGTTTATACAAATCAGCTGCGGAGGCAGACCCCCCACACACACAACCCCGGTCATGAGCCCAAGCCCTGCCCCACCTGTAAGTGGAGCCGGACGAGCGCAGGGGGCAGGTTCTGGGGCAGGTAGCTGAGCTGGTTGCTGGAGAGGATCATGGTGCTGACGGCGTCAGAGCCGTTGAAGGCGTCATAGGGGAGCCCGGTGTTGGTCAGCTGGTTGTTGTGAAGATACACGGACCTGCATGGAGGAGAGGGAAGCAAAACGGAGCTGACACCAGAGTCTCTGGGGTAGGGTAATGCCCCTGTCCTGCCCCCAAGGGGAGAGCGCCCCCTAGTGAGCCCTCCAGCCCTGCAGCACAGCGCCCCCTAGTGCCATGCTGGGGTGAGCACTGACTGCAAGGACAGAGCGCCCCGAGTGAGCCCCCATCCCGCTCCCTGCAGCACAGCGCCCCCTAGCACTGCACTGGGACATTGAGGTCAACACAGAGGGGAGAGCGCCCCCTACTGAGCTCCCTACCCAGCTTGAAGAAGAGGCCCACACTAATCAGGCCCAGAGCTTGGCTCAGCCAGTCCAACCCACTGAGATCAGCAAACCACCCACAGCTGCAGGCCCCGTCCGTGGGACTCCCGCGTGCCCGAGGCAGGAGGCCTGGATGGCGGCTCTACCTGAGGTTGGCTTTCTGCCCAAAGGTGAGCGGGTAGACTTCGGTGAGCAGGTTGGCAGCCAGGTCCACTATGCGCACTGCGCTGGGGAGGATCTGCGGTGCTACCGTGAGCTGGGGAAAAACCAAAGGGGGACGGGCCGATTCCAGCGGATCAGTGTGGTCCTGGATTTACCCACTGCCGCCAGAGGGCCTGGCCAGGCTTTATACAGGGATTGCTTCACTGGTCAGTGGCATGCAGCCACCTCTGGGCTCAGAGGCAGCAGCTGTTTCTACAGGGATTGCTCAACATCTGGTCTGGGGTAGAACACAGCAGCTGTTTCACAGTGCCCAGGGCCACCACACAAAGGTTTAGGACAGGAAGTGGAGAGGAATCCTCTCTCCAATGAGCACAGCAGCAGGTGGTTAGGACGACAGGATGGAATCACACCAGGGTTAGCACAGACACTTGAGGGGAATGTGTCAGCATCTCTAATGACCACGTGGGACCCGTCTCCTCTGAAAGGTGGCACCTCCTGCAGCACGGCGCCCCGGAGTGCCATGCTGGGCCCCGGGGTCAGCACGGACTCAGAGGGGAGCGCCCCCTAGTGCTGCACTGACTCAAGGGACAGCGCCGCCTACTGAGTCCACCAATCTGCTCCCTGCAGCGCAGCGCCCCCTAGTGCCACATGACGGAGTCACCCATAGCACCCCCTGCAGCACCCTTGGCTTTCCCTGGAGGTCCCATCCCACTGGCGACCACGCTCAGCATGGTTTAGCTTGTGAAATCCCCCTCACACACACACACGTGCAGAGCCCCCTCCACCTAGCTGGACACAAACCCCTGGCACCATCCCTGCTCGTTAAAGCTGCTGTGAATGCTGCGCACCGGCTCAGAGGACAGCCGCGCACACACCTTGTTGTTGGCCAGGTAGATGTACTGCAGCGAGTCCAGGGACTCAAAGGCTTCATCCGGGAGGCCTAGAAAGCAGCAGAGAGAAGAGCGGAGATTGCCTAGTCCAGGCACACCCTGCGCAGAAGGGAGGCCAGGGCGTGAACCTGCTCCATCCATCTAGTGAACTCAGACCCTGCCTCCCTCCCTGAAAGGCCCCATGGCTGCTTCCACTCCCCCACGGAGCTACGCATCCTGTAACTGGCATCCAGCTACCCACCATGCTTTTCTAGAACGGTCCCAAAAAACTTCCCAGGCTGCTGAAATGCAGCTGCCTCTGGGGTGGAGCGTGGCAGCCGTTCACACAACACTACATAGGGATCGTTCACCCAGCGCTGAAATGCAGCTGCCTCTGGGGTAGGACCCAGCAGCTGTTTAACAGCATGCGACAAGGCTGCACAAGAATTTAGAAGTGGAAGTGGAGGAAATTCCTGTATCCCGCTGAAACTGCAGGACGGGGGGACGGCCTGCAAGGGCATCCTTCTGGGATTCAAGGAGAGGAGGATAAAGGGACGATGGGCTCGGGTACCGGACCACGGGGATTTCTGTTCCATAGGAGGCCGGGAAGAGCTCTCCCTGGACACGCACACTCCCGCCCAGGTCACGTTGGCACGGCCCCTGCTCACGGCACCGCCCCCTTCGATGGCGTCCCAGCCCCCTGCCCGCGACGGCTCCCTCACCGTCGGAGATGATGTGGTTGTTGTGCAGGTTGAGGGTTTTCAGGCTGGTCAGCGGGGCCAGCTCGTCGTAAGGCAGCTCCCGTAGCTGGTTATTCTGCAGAAGGAGACGCGCTCACCTCAGTCCCTGGGGGAGTGGGAGGCGTTTGCCCAGGGCCAGAGGGCAGCAGTTTAGAGAGAGATGGGAGGTGGAGAGTCAGGGAAGGGCTGCTCTGGGCTCTGGAAGGGGTTCCACTGGGGCACCGCCTCCAACAGCCCCCAGCCGCCCCCCGACCCCCGGGGCACCGCCTCCGACGG